CTGAAACTCCCCAGGCCTATTGAAGTCAACTAGACATATCACACAAGTTACAAATTCAAGAGGACATTGCCTATTATTGAGACAATAATATTGAAAGCCATTTCAATTTTTACTGTATGCTTAACGTCATCGACTTTGTATTAAAAAAACATGAATTCGATTTCCAAGCAATTTTGTACAGAATCACTCTAATATAGAGTGGTGTATTTCTATATAGGCCTACATGTGTACATGTATTTTAAACCTGTCACGTGAAGATGGTTTTTTATCCGAGAAAATAATGTATGCTAGTAATTGTTTACATTCACTAAATCAGAAAAAAGGAAACAATTTCAAATTATGCATTCGAGAAAGATTTGCCAGAACATTTAATGTGGACATTAATTTCTTTAAAATGTCATGCCTGCTATGAGGTATTTGAATCCTCTTCGGGAGCAATAAACATGACTCTCTGCAAGAATTCAGTTGTTTTTCTCTTTACATCAGTCATCCATTTAAGCTGATGGTTTAGTCGGACCATGAGAAAGTACACAGGAATCCCGCTCAATACAATTGCAGTTGCAATGAGAGAGTCTAAGGGTGCTCCGATGAAACCAAGAACAGAGAGAAACATGCAAACTACGATGAAGATGATGGGGATGACGATGTTAACCTTAAAAGGTCTTGGAAGATTAGGTTTTTTGATTCTCATATACAACAATCCTGCGACTGCCGTTCCGAAGAAAAGCCAGTAGATGAAACCAAACAGGTTGATAAGGAAGAAGACGTTGTCCACAAAACAAAAAGCACTGACAGCGCTGGAAATTGTGATGATACAGAGGAGAGGGGTCTTGTGGCGAATTCCAATCATTGCCATAATGGTCGGAACATGTCCTTCCCTTGCTCCTGCAAATAGCTTTCTAGAGTTCGACAGGATGCACCCGTTTAGAGATCCAAAGCTGGACAATGCTACAAAGAGAGGGATGATGACGGAGAACCTTCCAAGGACCTGTTCAGCATAGGTGAGGGCTACGGCGTCGGACCCCAGGAGCTCTGATGGAGACAGGACAGAGAAATAGGCAACATTCGCCAGTGTGTTCACAAGAGATACTATCAAGACAGAGAGCACTATGGCTATTGGGAGGTTTTTCATAGGATTCTTGAGCTCTTCAGTCAAGACGCTGACACTGGACCAGCCTGAGTAGGAAAAGAAGCATGAATAGATTGCTGTTCCCAAGCCGCTTATGGCAGTTGAGGCAAACGGGTCTTTGAAATGTTTAGTGTGTCCTTTTCCGATATTTACTAGGCCGCTGATGATTATAATACCTATAGCAAGTAACTTACAAATGGACAAGATGTTTTGAACGAGAGAAGATAGTCTTACGCTCCAACAGTTCACAAACATGGTGATCATGGTACATAAGACGGCCAAGAGCTTCACTGCGATCTTTGGAGGCGGGCAGTCTGGATCAGGGTAAAAACGGTTCCAAACAGTAAATAGAAAACAACAAAGCAATGACAGCATTCCCAGCGGGAGACACGATGACAGTCGATGCCCAGAGTTGGAGGAAACCGGCTAAATCTCCAAAGATGACTCGGATGTAAGTATAGGTGCCTCCCGCTGCTGGGATCATGGTGCCCAACTCGGCGTAGCACAGCGCACCAAGTAGCGATAGGATTCCAGTTCCTACCCAAACACATAGGGTTGCTCCAACGCTCTCTACACCGGCAAGGACTCCTTTAGGCGAGATAAAGATCCCGGTACCGATCATGATACCGACGTTGAGCATGACGCCATCGAAGAGACTGAGGCTTCGTTTGAGCTTTACCGAATCGTTGACGTCTCCCTGATCGTCCTTGGTATCGACATATTCTTCCGTGTTAAGAACATTTCCACTGATATCTTGGACACTTTCAGATGACTGGATTGGACTTTCCATTTTTCTTGCCAAAAGACGACAGAGCTTTCGATACGTACGTTTGGTAATGATTGTTCCATGAAGAGGTAGCTCTTGAAAAGTACGGACAGAAATTAGCTTAGTGGTTCTCATATACCAATCAGCATAATTGTGTTCAGTGCCTTGCACAGCAATATGAACTTAAATTTATGATTTACATCGAGTGAGTAAACAAATACCGTGGGTTTTGAATACAGAGTCGTTACGTATATGCCATGCCTTTGCTTTAGTACACAGAATAAGAATTGTACCCCTAACGTGTTTTGCGAGTCCGTTCAGTTGTTTTACCGCGATGAACTTGAAAAGTACTGCAACCCTTTTGGGGGAGAATCCTAGATCCAACCTTGTATAAAGTCCAGCCGTTTGTTTATTGTCCGTTTTGGTATTGTTGACCATATCAGATTGAACTTCGACCGGTATTAGAGATCAATGCAGTCTCTACACATTAGGTTCAGCATCAACTAATAATACATTGATCGTATACGAAGACACGCAATTGTTCAAACTGGCCGTCGCTGTAGAGTACTAGTTGTTAAACCAAGGACACAGTTATAAGGCATCGCTTTACAGTTCAGGACAGTATACGGTGTAGGCCTACTCGTTTTACTTCCACGCCATGATTACTGACTGGCTATGGAACGCCAAGTGTATAATACCTGTTTACGACAGTCACGAGCGATAGAAATTGAAATGTCCTCCTTTAAAGTCACATTGCCCCTATCGTTTCATTTTGAAAATCATCTCACTTTCTCTTAGAGACAATTTTATTTAAATTTTTTTTTTTTTGGTGCTGTTGTAACCACGTCCGCATTCTTTGTAGGCCCATGTCGTGCAAACTCATCGGAAATGTAATCTATATAAATATAAAATTATGTTTCCAAAACAACCCCCCCCCCTTCTCTCTCTCTCTCTCTCTCTCTCTCTTCTTTCCCTTAATCTTCTTCTCTTTTTAATTATTTTCACTTTCTTTCCTCTTTTTTCTTCTTTCGTTCTCTCGTTTTCCCATTTCCATTTTAAGGCCGCCAAAAAAGGAAGGGGTCGCGACCGATTAGCCGCCCCCCCCCCCCCCCCCCCACACGATCCGCCACCGATTGATATGTTTATGCAGGCAATATACGCATAGCTTGCGGTGGGATTTGGTTTCCGTTCTATCCAAATTCGTTGCCGACCCGTTACTCTTTTGCATCTCTCTTTCTCTCCTTTTTCTCCCGTTGCTCTGTCTCCCTCCACCCTTTTATTTTTTTAGGCCGCAACGGGAGGGGGGGGGGCGGCCGAAAAAGGTTGTTTAAATTTCGAATTCCAATCATAAATATCTTGATAATGAGACGGGCGAACGCCTTGTAAACGTCATGGGATTCCTGACTGACCTAAAGCTTTGTCATTATAATTGCAGAATAAGTTAGATCCAGGATTTTGTTTAGCATCTCTGACAAAGATACCAAATCCTACACGATTTCATGATGACGCTAGTCTAGTTCTGCTTGTTAACTTTTTTCCCGGTGGGGTCACTCAATTTGACTTCCGGACCGCATGACCGTTACCAAAATCGCGGAAAAAGGGGTCAATTTCAAGTAATGTCCGCGGACAAAATATTCCTCGAAATAAAGAAAATAGGGGTGCACAGGTGTCCTCGAAATTGATAAATAGGGGTAAGGAAAAGGGAAAAGAGAAAACCGGGAAGAGAAAAGAGAAAACCGGGAAGAAAAATTCTCGGAGCCGAGTCTTGTCCTTGAAATATGGTAAAATAGGGGTAAGTTTGCGAAAGTGTCCTTACAATCTTATAAATAGGGGTATTCCAAAGTACGATTTTGTCCTTGTTTTGACGTAAAAAAGGGGGTTAAATCTCACAAAATGTCCTCGAAATTGACCGCAAAAGGGGGTTATCTGCATTTGTGGTAACGGTCATACGTGTCACTCTCTGCAGGGGAGTGACCCCACCGGGACTTTTTTATGTGCGTTGTTTTAAGCTTCAATAACCTTGTCCATCGCATAGAAAAAAGTGTGAACAGTACCCAAATTTGATCTCCATGGGATATACAACAGGGTATTATTGACATTATCCTTTGGTTGATTTCTTAAAAGCCTCTGCGATCATATTTGTTTTATGCGGTATATATAAGTTCGTGATCAGCCACCCTGTCTTTAAAGTTTTCCCCTTTTATTCCCCTTTTTCTTTCGTCACGCCATTACAAAATACTCTCTTTCTCACTTTCTATCTCTCTACATCCTCTCCCATTGGCACTTCCCTTCCTTTCTTAATTATCTAGTTTCTTTACCAACATGTCACCCTCTATTTCTTCGGTTGTCACTAATATGTCACTGCCTGAACTACTGTTACACCCTGTACAGATTGTTACTCACTTTCAGTTTTACACATACACTGGCACATGTATTTCAAATTATTCAAAATGAATTTTTATTCTACCGCATTCACTCTAAGTCAAATTTTATTGTAAAATATCATCACAACCTAATAGCTGAATTGTGATGATGAATAACGAAAACATAGTTATGCAAATATTTCAGTACAATGATAATTCAAGCAGATTTGCAGCGGTTCATACAATAGGAAGATGGCGAAAAGAAAAGTATACATGCAGTGTAATCGGATAAATGTGGATTCCAAAAAATGATTATGTTCATTGTTTCATGACAGGATCAAATGGCGAACCTAAGGGGGGCAGGGGCACGTTCCCCGGGCAGGACCTTAAAGGGGCGAATAAAAAAGAAACGATAAAGGGGGGAAAAATAAGGAAAATCACAATCCTTATGGGTTAAATGTATTAGAACTCGACTTTATTTTAAGTTGAGATGCGAACAGTTTCTAAAGCTCAGTCGCATTGCTCTCTCGCAAGTGTTGCGTCAGGATCTCGTAATTTTAAGCCCCACTGTATATGAATAGCTTTGCGTTGTTTTAAAAAGAAAAATCATTAAAAAATTATATTCTCTCTTTGCTTTTTTTTTCATTTGCACCTCTCTATTCTGCAGTGTAGAAAGAAGAAGAAGAAAACGTTTGGGAAGGTTTGAATAGAAAGCGGCTTTTGTTCAAACTTCACAACTCCACTACCCCCTGTTGATGTCATAGTCGTACGAGCTGGGGGATGGGGGCTCTCCCAAGGAATCTCCCGAGTTCGAACGATTAATTCCACCCGCCATCACCACGATCACCTGATTCATATGCAGGGAGCAACATGCCAGAATATCCTTATATTTAGGTGCCTGTAAATCATTATCATTATTTGGGCGGCAATATGCCCGAACATGCTACTTTTACATCTGAGATTGTGAATGTTGATGAATTAACATTTTAAAAGATCAAAGTTTTGATAACGAAGCAGGCCTAATATCTATTGTACATTCCCGCTCGCTTATTATTATTATTATAATCTGGATGTAATTAAGTATTGTAAAAGGCATTATTTATTCCCATGCTCACTGTCTCCCACGAGTTTGGAAAAGGAATAGGGCCGAGCTGTCGGGCTCATCTAAATTTGGTAATCATAAAACATATAACCCTATAATTATATGTATATTGTCTTACTAACATGTTGTATATATATTTATATTTTGTTTTCTTCCTTTAATTTGAAAAGAAAAGGGGGAAATTGTATAAAGTAATACTAGTAATATAATTTATTCTCATCCCTGTATTATATTTCAGGTGAGACATGCAGTAGTATGTTAATTTGTGTCACTTTTGGTTATCGTTGTCTTTATTCTTACACTCAATTATCTAAGTTATAACCTTGAAATTTGTTATCCAATGTACACAAATTGAGAATGATCCTATCTGTTTGGATTGAAATCAATAAAGTTTGAATTTGAATTTGAATTTGTACATAGATAAATTTGGACCGGTCATGGAGGGGGGAGGGGCGCAACTTCTTTGCCTGCCCCGGGTGCCTAAATACCTAGACACGACATTAGACATTTCAACTTGTCAAATTTAGGATAAATATTATGATCATGCAATGAAATTATTGTTATTTAGGTCAAATTAGCCACCATGCTCTCTCACTTTGATCAAAACAGAAGTTCCATAAACTCTTGGTTTTCTGCACTTATAGATCAATAACGCGTTATTTCATTTCACAACCTTTGATCAAAATACGTTACGTATCTTTATATTCTTCTGGTAGGACAAACAAGAGTTTTTGAAGAAAGTTTGACGTCTTTCTTTTCACATCGACTATCCATTTGCTTCGAGGCTTTGTTCGAACCGTGAAAAAGTATAAAGGAATCCCGCTTATTATAATTGCGGTTGCGATGAATGAGTCCATGGGTGCTCCGACGAACCCAAGTATCGTGAGACATATGCAGACTATGACAAAGATGATAGGGATGATGATGCTGACCTTGAAAGGTCTTGGTCGGTTGGGTTCTTTGAACCTCAGATACACCATACCGATGACTGCGGCCCCGAAGAAGAACCACTGGACAAAGCCAAAGAAGTTAATAATGGTGAAAACGTTGTCCACGAAACACCAGATTATAGTGATGATGGAGTTTAGAATGATACACGGGAGTGGCGTTTTGTGACGAATTCCAATTGTTGCGAGGAAATGTGGTAGGTGACCTATTCTTGCTCCTACGAAGAACTCTCTGGATGAGGAGAGGATGGATCCGTTGAGACAGCCGAAGGTGGACAGGACGACGGTGACAGGGATTATAACTGCATATTTTCCTAGGACCTGCTGCGCGTAGGTGAAGGCTACAGCATCAGAATTTACTAGCTCCGATGGAGACAGGGCTGTGAAGTAGGCAACATTGATCAGTGTGTAGACAAAGGCTACCATCGATATTGAGATGACTAAGGCAGCTGGGAGGTTTCTTGATGGGTTCTTGAGTTCCTCGGTCACGACGTTGAGGGATTGCCATCCATCGTACGCGAATAAACAGGAGTAGAGTGCCGTCCCCATGCCGCTGATATCAGTGGATGCAAAAGGCTGCTTGAAGTTTGCAGTGCTTCCCATACCCATTTTGACAATGCCACTGATAATCAAGATACACAGAGGTATCAGTTTACATATGGACAAAGTATTCTGTAAGAGTGTAGTCAGTTTTACGCTCCAGCAATTCACAAACATTGCAAACGAGATGCTTAAGACGGCGAAGAGTTTAATGGCCACCTTAGGGGGTGGACAATCCGGGTCGGGATAAAATGGTTCCAGGCAGTAGATGGAAAACATCAAAGCAACGACGGCATTGGAAGATGGCGATACGATGACCGTGTCTGCCCAGAAGTTGATGAAACCTGCAAAATCTCCAAAGATGACTTGGATGTACGTGTACGTACCTCCCGATGCAGGGATCGTGGTGCCCAACTCGGCGTAGCATAGCGCACCAAGTAGCGTGATTACTCCTGCAGCCACCCAAACACAGAGGGTAGCGCCAACGCTCTCTACACCGGCAACGACTCCTTTAGGCGAGATAAAGATCCCGGTACCGATCATGATGCCGACGTTGATCATGATACCGTCGAAGACAGTAAGGGTACGTTGGAGCTTGACAGTGCTCTCATCGCCATCGTTCTCCTGCTCGACAACGATTTCGATGTTTCTCTGATGAGTTCCTTCACTCGTCGATTGAATTGCTTCTTCCATGATAAATAACACAACGCCAACGCTTCTATGCTAAAGTAGAAGCACCTCGTAGCGTGTGCATATATAGTATATGCCTAGCTGGAACGAATGAAAATCAATAATCATTACGTACAAACCAATGTGTTTTTATTGTACATTGATATACCTACTTTGTATGCATGAATCAAAAGTATTGGCCTACATAAACTAATGTGTAGGTCTATCGAACCATCAGATGAAATAAACCTAGCCAATTGAGCGTGAAGTTTCACATTAATTTTGTGCCAAGAATTAAGTGCCGACTCAAAGACTTTGTTTAGGAACGAACAAACAATGCCCTTTGCTTTCCTGCCCATATCTCAAAGCGACTGTGTAGAATAGCAAAAAAAGTGCAAAGTCCATTTCAAGAGGTCATTTATATTCTATCATATTCCGACGACAACAGATATTAATCCGTGTCAATTCCTTCACCTTGATGACTGGCGTAATGATGAGGGGGGGGGGGGCAGTTGCCCCAAATAAAATCAAGCGTGGTTTATTTCTAATCCGATACCAGTGATTTACAAATGTTGCTGAAATGACATGATTTCCCGGGGGGATTTTTTTGCTTATTATAAATTATGCTACTGACCCTGAACAATCTGATTCCATACTTCTCAAATGCATCCATAATACATGTACATTCATCTCCACAAAAATAACCTCCAACTTCAATGTTAGCTCACAAAATCATATAATATGCGAGCAGGGGCGTCGCTAGACCGTTTTCAGTGGGGGAGGGGGGGGGGGGTGTAGAGGCGATTACCGACAAAAATAGCCACCAATCATCAACAAAATTGATGTCCAATATCTACAACTTTAACCCTATAAACCCGGGGCCGAAGGCTAAATTGTTTTTCCTATGGACTATCTATAGTACTTGTGTATGCGCAAATGGTCATTTTCCTCGACGACATAAATATAAAAATTATTTCGTCAACTTAGTCAGCATCATAGGCTTTCATAGCTATATATCTTAATGCAAGCGCGGAGCTAGGGTTTTATTTTAGGGGGGGCGATAGTGAGAAAGAGAATCACTTTCGCGCGCCCATTACGGGGTGGTGTAGGTGATAGGCCTCCCGCGCGAAGCGTGGAAGCTTAGACGTTTCCTTGAATTATTAGGAAAAGAAGACGATTTATTGTACCGTTCTCGACTGTTAATCCTTGTCTGAATGAAGTCCCCCCCCCCCCCGCGCGAAGCGCGAAAGCTTCGAAGTATCATTAAATTATTATAAAAAGAAGAGGATTTGCTGTACCGTTCTCGACTGTTAATCCTTGTCTGAATTCGCTTTCTCCCCTACCCACGCAAAGCGCGGAAGCTTTGACGTTTCCTTAAATTATTAGAGAAAGAAGACGATTCGTTGTACCGTTCTCGACTCGTCTAAATAAATTTATCCCCTTCCGCGCGAAGCGCGGAATTAATATAGAGAAAGGAAGGCGGTTCGTCGTACCGTTGTTGACTCTTAAACCTTGTTTGAATTTAGTTTCCCTGAAAATTTTAAACCTCTGATTTCTTTAGCTGATATTAAAGGAAAGTGAAACTTCGAGAAAATACAAGTATTGTAGTTGAATTCACTCTCGAAGTCGTCACAGCGGATAAAAAGTCACAGTTCGTAGGGAAAAAAACTTGTCGGCCGACCGACAATATACATCTCACCGACTTCAAACTTCTGCATTGATATAGTACACGAGGATCGAGCAAGAATACCGACACAGCTGACCCGACACAGCAACATATTTACCCGTGTCTTTCTTGCTCCCTCGACGAGACGACTCTATCCAACAACCCCCTTCTCTTTCGGGCTCCTACCTCCCCTCTCTCTCCTCTCTTTCATCTCTTTTATCCCCCGTTTATTTTGTTTCCCTTTTACTCTTTTTTCTTCTTTTTTCACTTTTCTTTCTTTCTTCTCCTCCCTCTTTTTTTTTTTCTTTCTTTCTTCTCTTTTTTTCCCTTTCTTTTCCTTTCTTTCCTTTCTTTTCCTTTCTTTCTTTTCTTTTTCTTTTTTTCTTTCCCTTTCCCTCTCTTTTTTCCCCTCCCCTTTTCTCTTTTTCCCCGACGGCAGCGCAATTTTACCGACAATATCGTGGCAAGTGGAGACGCCCCTGTATGCGAGAAGTTTGAACTTGTCCTGGCTTTTTATTTTAGTATTCAACAAAATAACAACAGCTATAGCAGACACTTCGATAGTCCAGAATCTGCACGGCCCTTTATAATTTCCCTACACACTTGATTCAAGCCGTCGAAGATGGCGTTATCAACAAACTCATACGGCTGGTAGCAAGTAAGTAGGGAGAGGTAGCGTTGGTGTGGTGGAGACCCGCCCCCCCCCCCCCACTCAGTGTTATTTAGGGTATGCATATGCGTGTTCCCAGCGACCCCCCCCCCCCCTTTTCAGCAAAAGTCCGGTGTGTAAAGTCAATACGGGTCAACCTTTTTCTTTTGTTACGAAAAGGACATTTTGGTAACACGCATGGGGTCCGTCCGTTCTCGGAGTAGGGGGGGGGGGGGGGGGGGGTGGAGATCAAAATTAAATAGGCCAAATTCTGGACTAACACTTCGAAGGCTAAAATCGTCAGAGATGCGTCATTCGACGCAGAGGTTCCTTGTCGCGCGCCCAAGCAGCTGAGAAAATAACACACTTTCAAAGCAAAAGCGGAGACAGTCCTTTGCATGCCCGTCATTTGCGACGGGTTTATTTAATAATAATATTTAAATTAATAAAGATAGATCTATTGAGCGCATAGTAAACCGAAGTTTCTCTATGCGCTTTAGTAAAAAAAACAAGCAAATACAACAAATAGTTAAGAACGAAATATAAACACTGTATTTTAGGGGATCGCGCGAATCTGTGAGTGATGTGTATTAGGGAGGAGGACAGATGATTGAAGAATACAAAATATATAAAAACGAACAGAATCTGGACGAGAGTTTAGGGCAATGTGTCATTATAGTGGTAATGCTGAACAGGGCTCGACCATACAGGGAATTCATGAAGGGTGTAGTCTTGACTGTTCACACCAGAGAACGTCCAAATAAAACGCATGACAATATCTTTCAAGTGTAAATGAACCAACGATAATCGAACCATAATAATACGAAAATTGGCTTATAAAGCGTTTAGCTTGTATTGTATAAACTCCAAAATCACAACAGAACAAATAAATAGCACAGTATTTATGTACACGTAATCAAATCATGAAAATAGTGAATAGCTGAACTTTAATCTTACTACACGTTCTTAGATTTTAAATGTGAAATGACCCATGAAGCGACCCCGTTTTCAAAGTTACCATTTCACTGCTGATAATACATCCATTGTAGTAGTACTACTGTGTTTACTAACATGATATTGGTTTTAAAGATAAAGTTGAGTTCTGGTCATGCGATTGCATTGTTAAAGAAACGGTGTGGAAGTGATCAGAAAAAGTTGATCATGTAGGGCCTACCATATAATAATTGGTGTGTATTGCAAGGTTCTGGAGTCATCAAAATGATCAGAAATTTTGCCCAGTCTTGCTTAAGTAACAAGCACTGTACACATAAAGATCTATAGGAAGACTACACAAACATGTGGGATAAAAATCGGGCCTTATTTTTAAGCTGTTACTTGTCATATTTAGAATATGAAGGCATTTGAAGAGTCATGCTTTTCAAGGAACATTTTTCTATGATAAATTATTTTTCACCTCTACCCAGAACTCATCTTTCCCTTAACTTGAAGACCCGGTCCGGTCGCCACGTATCCACAAAGCAATTAAAAAAGCCCATATTTCCTGAAAGCAATCTAAACGGACCAATTTGTGGTTAGCTTTGGTACAATATTGATGACCCCCAGATATCTTGTTTTTGAATACTCATGGAGACGTCCCACTTTGTGCATTTCAGAATAAGCACCCCCGAAGTGATAAAGGTGCTTCATGTATCATGAGAAGAATTCTTCCACCTGTTTATTATAGAATTCACTGCCGGGGAATGTATATAATGATTGCATGACTTTCATGTCACGTAGGGCCGTAAGAGGTCACTTTTTTTTCTTTTTTTTTGGTCCCAAAAAAATCGCAACGACTCAGCCGACCGCTGAATAAGCGGGGGGGGGGGGGGGGGGTAAGAGGACACATTTTTTTTTGGGGGGGGGTCTCGAAATTTGAAAATTTGACATTTTGCTCCGTTGGGGGGGGGGGGGTAAGGTCAGCTTTTTTAGGTCAACCATGGGAATTAAAAAAAAAAAAAAAAAAAAAAAAAAAATCCAAAAGGGGGGGGGGGGGGTTTAGAGAAATTTAGGGGGGGGGGGGTTTACACACAAAAGATTACCAAAGGGGGGGGGGGTTAAACCCCCAAACCCCCCCCCCCCCCTGTGTACGCGCCTGCATAGAGGCATTAATCATTCATCATTCATAATATTTGTGAATTCATCTTTATTCTTTAATACAATGTTTACGGTAGTCGGTATTGTAAAAATACAACGGCAAACAGTATGCATCAATAGCACTCGAATTGATATTGATACAAAAACTTAAAACGATGCCGTTGTTTGTTCTTAGATATTATGATTGCACAAACCAAACATGATTCATAATGTTTGGATGTCTAGGTAAAGGCGCCTTAATTCTATCTAGTTTAGATTAAATTGTAAACGTATATATATTGTTTTACCTTGCAAAAGATAGAAGGAAACTTGAAACTGTTCAGAATCAACAACTAACAAATATAGACTAATTTTACAGTGGCTGCTTCGAAAACACGTAACAATATCCCACTTCCCATCAGAGAATGAACCTGTATTGGCTCTTTCAAAAGATCCCTTAAAACACTGCTTCTCCCCCTCAGTAACTTAATGCCATTGACCTATGTTCGCCATTTCACGTTTCTCTTCACATGCTGTAATTTGTAAGCACTTTATATACATTTTGTTTTTATCGCTCCTAAATGATCGAGATTATTACCATTATTTGTATGAGTATTATTAACATCATTTTTAAACGACATTAATTATATTACATGTAAAATGATGTGGGAGATGGAGATAACATGTGGAAGCAACATT